GTCTGCTTCTCCCTCTGACCCTCCTCCCTCTCATGCTCTCTGTCTCTCATTCTCTCTGTCTCAAATAAATAAATAAAATCTTTAAAAAAAAACAAATAAAATCTGGGCCATTTCTGTCTTTAATTGAAATTATTCATTTGCATTTAATAAGCACTTATTGACATGGTTGAGTTTGTCTGCTATCTTGGACATTTTCTCCATTTGTTGCTTATTTCTCTCCTCCTCCCTCTTTTTCTTCTTTTTGGTCTTTGTTTGGATTAATCCAGTCCTTTTTTAGGATCCTGCTAGAAAAACTTGTCCCATTTGGTTGATGGGATCTTGTGGTCCACCCAGCCACTCACCCACTCTGTGGCTGAGAGCAGGACACACAGAAGGTACCTCTCGTTGCCCTTGTCTTGCACGTTCTTGTTTGGAAGAAAGCCTTGGCAAGGTGGGAGTCTCCCTTTAGTTCTTGTTTGCCTGGATTGTATGAGTTGTTCTGCAGGGCATTTAGGAGAGACAGCCATCTGATACTGAAATTACTTCTGCTAATTATTTCTGCTCTCCCAAAGTATGTTGCTACCACCCACAGATACCCATCCACACTCCTCACAAGAGAAATGGGAAGATCTTAGGACCCCGAAGAAAACTGAGTGTAGGGTTCGACTGTGGGGTCACTTGCACTGCCAGTCAAAGGCCCCTCTGACAGTGTGTGCAGATACTGGCTCTAGGGAAGCCCAGGCTGGGCCGTTGGTTAGCTCAGTCTGGCAAGGTGAGGGGGTTTCGTAACAGGCGGGACTGTCTGAGCACAAGACCTGTGCAGAAGGATAAAGGTAGGAAAGTGCACTTTGCGTCCTTGTGGCAAGAGTAGGATTGGGGAGACAGCAGCAAGTGCCAGAGGGCCTGGAGGAACGTGTGCAGAGCAGCCTGGTGGGTGCCAGGAGAGCACTCACCGGCAGAGGTTTTGGAGCTGGGATGGGAGGAACTTGAAGGTGTTTATGTTTTGAAAAAATGAGTTTAATGCAGCAAAGCCAAGAGGCTGTGAAGGGGACGGGGGCTGGATAGCCAGGGGCCTGGGCTCCCTGGCAGCCGGGCTTCACACATGGCTTCACACATAGACAGATCCGGGCTTCTGCATTGTGTGGGGTCTTTTACTCTTCTAAGTAAAAACACTAGAGAGGATAAATCCCATCTCCCATTCATAATCTCAAAGTACAGGTTTCACTTTGCTAAGGATACAGGTTTTATATTCTTCATTGCAACAAAACAGTGAAAACTTTGTTGCGAACAGCCTAGGCCCTGGGAGCCTGCCCTGTGAGACTCTCTGAGCAGGACAGACTGTGTGTAGTCCAGGCAAAGACAGCAAGAGCCTGGAGCCGGGGGGTGTGTGAGATGCAGAGGGAGGGCTGGGTCAATAGCAGTTTGCAGGGGTGTGCATGTGAGGGAGGTCGTGGCTTCAAGGATAAGCCTGGGTTGTTTGGCAAGGTGGGGATGGTGAAAGGGGGGCCCGGCAGAGTTGCTGAGGGCCAAGCAAAGTGAGCCAACAGGAGTTTGACTTGCTAAGGTTGTAGTCTGTGAGAGGTTTTGTGTTCTTTTATGAGATGGTTGGTCAGGTGTGGGCAGGAGAGTGGACACAGGGGACGCTCAAGAAAACAAAGTTTGTTATACATATGGTCCTAGAGACAGGGGGTGTGGGCCTCAGGCAGAGCCACATGGGGAAGTCCCAGGGGTGTTATGAGGCAGAAGACAGGGGTGGGGGAGCACTTAAGCCATGACCTTTATTGGGGGTTTCCATGGGAAAGACAAGGCAGGGCGGGATGGACAGCTTAGGGCCACCTAGTTTGAATAATTTTAGTGGACTCTAAGCTACATGGGTGGTCCCTAGTTGCCTGGCCCCTGGCCCTGGGATGATGAAGGCTGAGGAAGATCGTTTCCTGGGATGTGTGGGCCCAGAGAGGAGTGGTTGCTCTGGATAGATTAGTTTGCAGATCACAGTAATGCTCTGGCTCAGCCCTTGGCTATCTTTAAGGATTGGCTAGTTCTGGGAGGGACAGTCTGTCCCTAGCCAGAGGGGTTTCTTAAGATGTCAAAGATGATCTACAGAAAATGTATGCAATGCAGGTACATCTGGGGAGAGATGCCTAGTGTTCGCTCAGGTGGGGGTTGGACCCTGAGAGGGAGGGTGGGTTGTAGAGCTGTTAAATTTCTTGGGGTGGAGATGCATCCCCAGTGCTGACACATGGGAGACTTGGGATGTGTTGCCTCAGGGAGCCAAGGAGCAAGTGAGAGCACTGAAGGTGGGTCAGCCAGAGGGAACCAAGAGAAGGCACAGGTCCTGCACTGTGGAGGATCTGGGAAGTCCCTGCGAGTTTTGGAGCCAGACCCGGAGAGATCTGTTGAGGCAGTTCCTGGGGAGAACACCCTCCAGCGCAGGCTCGTGTTGGGGATGGACTGTTTGGACTTTGGTATAGACTTGCTGAAGGTGAACTCACACCACGTGGGAGAAGTGACCCCTTATATCTTTGATTGCAGCTTCGTGGCCGTCACCATGTTCTGGAAGTTTGACTTGAACACCACATCCCACGTCGACAAACTGTTGGATAGGGAGGATGTGACGTTGCGAGAGTTAATGGATGAAGATGATATCCTGCAGGAGTGCAAGGCTCAGAACCAGAAGCTGCTGGGCTTCCTCTGCAGGCAGCGGTGTATGGAGGAGCTAGTGAGCCTCATTACACAGGACCCGCCCCTGGACATGGAGGAGAAGGTCCGCTTCAAGTATGTACTGAGGCTGTGACGGGGCCCGGAGCCGGGCAGGGCTGCGGGGAGGCGGTGGGTGGCGTTGGAGGGTGTCCAGAGCCAGGGCTTCGGACAGAAAAGCCCACTTTAAACATTCACCCCATCTGAGAAGTAAGGAGGTCACTCCCCGTGGGGTTGGTTTTTGTGAGGGTTAAGATTTTAGAATCTCTGTGTATGTGATTTCTCATTCCAAGTTGTAGTGAGTTACTCTGTGTGTCGGAGTGTTTTGAGTGAAAATGTGCTGAGAGAAGACTGACCCCATGACTGAGGTGGATAGACTGCAGCAAATGGGCTGCACCCCAGCAGGAAGCAGGTCCCAGCCTGCTGAAATGGCCTATCAGGATGGACGGGCAGCATCTGACCTCTTGACCATGGGAACTGCCCCACTGTGGGGTCTTGGGGTCAGAGGAAAGAGGCCATGTCGTTAGTGGTACTGACCATTCTCAAAGTTTTTCCTGAAATGTTCCAATCAGCAGTTGGCTAGGATGTTAGGACATGACAGAAGGGAAGTGGTGGTGTGGTTAGGACTTGGGATGAGGACAGAGGAGTGTGAACGAGGGGGACAGGGCAGAGTGGCACCTCCTGGGGCTGGTGACCCAGGAATGGGGGCAGACAGGGCCGCCCTCAGGTGTTCCTGGGTCCATGGAGCGTCAGACAGTGTGCGGTGGTGAAGTCTTAGAACAGGGTTGGCCACCTGTGGCCCACAGGTCAAATCCTGTCTTTGTGTGGCCTGCAAGCTAAGAATAGTTTCACATTTTTAAATGTTGAAAAAAATCAAAGGAGTAACACTTTGTTACACATGAAATTGATATCAAGTCCACATTTCAGTTGTCCATGAAGACAGTCTCGTTGGTACACAGCCACACTCAGCCTTTGGTGATTACAAGGACAGAGTTGACTAGTTACAAGAGACTATCTAAGATATTTACTGTCCGGACCTTTACAGAAGTTTTTTGTTTTGTTGTTTTTTTAAAGATTTTATTTATTTATTTGACAGAGAGATAGAGAGACAGCACAAGTAGGCAGAGTGGCAGGCAGGGGGAGAGGGAGAAGCAGACTCCCCGCTGAGCGGGGAGCCCGATGCGGGGCTCGATCCCAGGACCCCGGGACCATGACCTGAGCCGAAGGCAGCCGCTTAGCCGACTGAGCCACCCAGGCACCCCTTTACAGAAGTTTTTGTTGACCTTTGTCTTAGAGGGAAAAGAAAGCTGGAGAGGCGACGAGAAGTGCCTGTGGCAGGGGACAGTCGATTTAGGGACCCATTTAGGGCAGTCATTCCCAGCCTCTGACAGGGCAGCCGTGTAGAGGAGAGCTCTAGATGGAGCTAGGAGCCTGTTGGTTTAGGGCCATGGCGGCCATCTGCGAAAAGTCGGGTGGAAGCCATTATACACCCCACATGCCTGGTCAGTGCCCCTTGTCTTAGCATCACTGTGGATGGCCTCGTCCCTTTTGCCCTCTCACCCCAAATGTGTTCTGTGTGGTGGTAAGTTATGTGGTCTCCCTGCATGCATAGGGGGCGTTGGTTAGCAGGACGGGGAGCTGGGGTTTGGGCAGTGTGTTCTGGATCAGGGCAGAGGGAGCCCAGAGTGGCATCAGTGAGCCAGGAGAGGTTCATGTTCATCATCAGGGAGTTTGGGAGAAATTAGTAGTGGATGAGTATGAAGCCAAGCGAACAAGGCAGTGAGAGAACTTTAACTCTGGGGGGACTTACATAAGTAAGCAGATGTAAGTAGAGTGAACATATCTGCTCAGCTGTGAACGGTGTCTACATGTTCATACAAGGTAAGCATAGGCCCTTGGTTTAACTAAGAATTGTGCTGTGATTTTATAGAGCGAGGGTGAGGGGCAGGCGACAGGAGAGTTCTGTCTTCATCTTCCATTGTACGGGGTTGGTTTGTAACATCGGAAAGTGACAAATGAAGAAGTACATCTGTGTTTTACTTAGAAACATGGAGGTTAACCACAGAGCTGACAGACGTGGGTGAGCAAGGACACAGGAGGCAGGAGGCCACTCCTCCTCACCAGCCCCGTCGAACAGAGTTGAAAGCATGTGTACATATCATAAATCAAATTTAAAAAATTAAATCAAAGATTCCTTTTTTTTTTTTTTTAAAGATTTTATTTATTTATTTGACAGAGAGAGATCACAAGTAGGCAGAGAGGCAGGCAGAGGGAGAGGGAGAAGCAGGCTCCCTGCTGAGCACAGAGCCCGATGTGGGGCTCGATCCCAGGATCCTGGGATCATGACCTGAGCCGAAGGCAGACGCTTAACGACTGAGCCACGCAGGCGTCCCCAAAGATTCCTTTTTGAGAAAAGGAGTAGGATCGATGGATAGATGGATGAGGTGGTGTGGTAGGCAAGAAAGAAGTAGGGTGAAGGCTGTTTTTCAGAGATGGGGAAGAGACTAGACCAGGGCAGCACGCCATCTCTGGAAGGTCTGACGGGACATTCTGCAGGCTCTGCAGGCCCGGAGCTCTTACGCGGTGGTGTACAAGCTGTCTGTGAGGGAGGGAGGGAGTGAGCGTGGCCGTGCTCCTGTCCCTTGCCTTACGGGAACCACGGCCTGTGCTTCTCCACTCCTGGCGACCGCCCACCTTGGCTGGCCTGGCCTTGTGCCTCTGAGGCGACCTGGCTGCTTCCCCCTACAGGCTGGGTTATGGAGACACTCTTCTCCCCGATAGTGGACGATGCACCTGAGCCGTGCCTGTTCCAGAGAAGCTGCCCCTGGTGGTTTGAGGTCAGACAGCAGTCACTGCTGCTGCTTAAAGCCAGAGGCTGCTGCATGAGGGCTCTGTGGCGCAGCCCTGGACAGAGGAGCCGGCCACCTGGTCCAGCCTGAGAGCCGCAAGGAGGTCCTGGTCTTTTTCTTGGAGTTCCTGTCCAGTTTGCCTGCTGAGTTCTCAGCCATTTGAGGAATAAGACAAAAGAGTCAGCAGACAGAACACCAAGACAGCACTGTGGTTACTTGCAAAATGCTGTGGGAGAGTGTGTTTTGTGGCTCTGGGCTGTGGGCTTCTGTGATCCAGATCGCAGAGTTAGAACTGCGCACCTGTCGGGAAACGGGGCTGCAGCAGGATAGCCCGCCAGAAAGGATGCCCTCCAGAAGACCCTGAGGTGCTACAGGTCAGAGCAGGAAGGATGGCTGAGCCCAGTAGCCTGATGACCCCCCTGGGGGGCAGCAAGTCTTGGCACAGAGGGAGGCGTCTGAAGGGGCAAGAGGGTTCCCTCCAGCCTCACTCTGATAACCCAGGGCCCACCTTCCATGTTTCAGGACCTCGTCGTCATCATCTTTGGTTTCCTTCCTGTGGGGAGTCGTATTTTCCAGTAGCTTCCTGAGGAGGAGGACCATGTGAGGGCCTAATAGGGCACTGTTCTCCTTTCACGCTTGTTCAAACCTCCCTCTGGTTTAGGCTCTGCACGGCCAGCACTCTCCATGCTTTAGAATAAGACTCCGCAGTTACCTCCCCTTCCTGACCTTGTTGCTGACACGCCGGATGCAACAGGACTCCCAGGTTTTGTCTCCTCCAGGGGGCACTTGGGCCCTCGTCTGGTCCCATCATCCTGGAGTCTCCCAGTAATGTGAGATCACCCCCGGGGTCAGGACAGGGCAGTTTAAACTGGAGAGGTTTTAGGGGCACCTGGGTGGCTCAGTCGTTAAGCGTCTGTCTTTGGCTTGGGTCAGGATCCTGGGGTCCTGGGATCGAGTCCCATGTCGGGCTCCTAGCTCAGCAGGAAGCCTGCTTCTCCTTCTCCCACTTCCTCTGCTTGTGTTCCTGCTCTCGCTGTCTCTCTGTCAAATAAATAAATAAAATATTAAAACAACAAAACAAAACTGGAGAGGTTTTAGAGTGAAGGCTCAGCTGTGAACATGGAGACACTGCATCCAGGCTTCTTGTCACTGATTGTGTAGGTAACCCTGGGCCCTTTCAGCCCATCAGTTCATGGCCTTGCCCACAGGGAAACTTCCTGTGTTGTTTCTTTGATAATCTTCTCCCCTCTGGGTTGCCCTCTGTTTTCTCTTCCTGGGTCTTGTAATCAGCTGTTAGACCACTTGAATTAATGCTTTCCTCTTCTTTTTGCTCTGAATGTCTTGTCTTTGCCTTTCTGTCTACATCTGAGAGGCTTCTTCACATGCTGTCTTCCTGTCCTTTTACCGATTTGTAAGCTTTCTATTTTTTTTTTTTTTTTAAGATTTTATTTATTTGACAGAGAGACACAGCGAGAGAGGGAACACAAGCAGGGGGAGTGGGAGAGGGAGAAGCAGGCTTCCCGCGGAGCAGGGAGCCCGAAGCGGGGCTTGATCTCCCAGGACCCCGGGACCATGACCTGAGCCGAAGGCAGACGCTTAACAATTGAGCCACCCAGGCGCCCCTCTATTGTATTTTTAATTGAAGAAGTCTTTCTTATTGTCAGCTATTTTAACTCCAAGCCTCCATTTCTTGCTCGTGGCCACTCTGTGTTGGAGTGTTTCTGGTAGTTTCCTTCTGTTCTCCGAACTCTCTGTCATTTCTCTGCGTGCCTTGTCTTCTGGCACTTGTTTATTTGGTCAGCCCTTATGTTCCTTCTGAAAGAGAGGCACCAGAGCCTGCGCAAGGTTTGGGGTCTGAGTGAGGCTTGCTCATCATGCTTCCGCGTGGAGGATAGGTGGCCAGCCGCTTGGTTAGGTGATGATTGGTTGAGTTTTCTCTCTGTCCCATAGTTTCTCCAGAAAATAATCCCCCCTGCTCCTAGCTGTGGGACGAGGACCTGATAGCAGCCTGAGTCAGGAAGTTTTTTATTTACCAGGCCCCGTGTTTCTGGACGGTGTCCCATCAATCCCTCAGCTGTACCTGATGTCCCTGATTCAGGAGCTGCTCTGGTCCACCTTTTCCAGGGGATAACTTCTGAGTCCTGTGTACCGGCAAGGGAGGGGCAGGAAGCCCACAGCTGTCCTGAGCCAGGCCTTGCACCCTGCCTGGTAGCCACTGCCTCTGTGTCCAGGCCTCTCTGGAGTGGTTTCCAGTGGGCGCTCCCTCTGTGTCCCTGAGACTTAGCTCCCCTGGTGCGCCATACAGGCCTCTGGGCCTTGCCAGGAGTCATTTCCTCTCCTTTTCTTTTTTTCTTTTCTTTTCCTTCTTTCTTTTAAAGATTTTATTTATTTGACAGAGAGAGAGAGAGAATACAAATAGGCAGAGCGGAAGGCAGAGGGAGAGGAAGAAGCCGGCTTCCCGCGGAGCAGGGAGCCCGATGTGGGGCTCGATCCCAGGACCCTGGGATCATGACCTGAGCCGAAGGCAGACGCTTAACTGACTGAGCCACTCAGGTGCCCCTCCACTTTTTGTCTTTTTACCTTTGCATTATTGGAATAGGAGCTTTAGAGGGGAAGATAACAAGCCTGTATGTTTGATCTGCCCTGTTTAATTGAATTCCTGTTCCTTATATAAATTTTAGAACCTACTAAAGCAGTACCTGTTTTTTTGAAGAATAATTAATAAAATACCAATAATGAAAACCTCAGTCCCTCTACCTAGATATAACCTTAGAGGGTCAGTGCCTTATAGCTCATCTTGCCACATGTGTGCACGTTTGCTTGTATGTGGAAACCAGATTGGGGCCTTTCCATGTGCTCTGGAAACGTTTCCTGAAGGAATAGTCTGTACTTTCCTCTGGGCCTTGATTCTTTTGTACCCTTGGTACATCTTCTCTTGTTGTTGGGAGTCTGGTGGACACCTTTCAGCCTGTGTGATGCAAGGCCTTGCTCTGGCCTCAGGGTCACTGTGGCCTGGCCCTCCTGCCCTGCACTCTGACCTCCTGCCCCTGGCGGCTGTGTGTTCTCCTCCATGCTGATTTCACGGTGTACATTCATGGTGCTGAGGTGACTCATTTGATCCTTGTAACCATCCCATGAGGTGAGTGGGCACGTTGCACCTCTCCTTGCCCCCTCTCATGGCCTGGTCCTGCACATCTAACTGGGCCACCTCTTTGTGAATGCAGCAGGTCTCTCACCCTTAGCCTGCGCACACGGCACTGTTTCTCTGAGCTCTAGAAGGTGCTTTCTCTTCTCTGGGCTGATGAGAAACGCCTGGCCCATAGCCAGACCTAGATTTCTTGGTTTCTCCCCCTTCTGCGTTTAGTTGGCTGCCACGCTCTGCTGTTTCCTCTACAGTCTCTCTAACCCAGGCCTCTGTAGCCAACCCACAGTGACCACCTGGGTTTAGGCCTGTGTTAAGGCCTATGTTGGTGGCTGCCAGGAGCAGGAGGGTCATGGTGGCTGACCTTGACCCAGGGCTTACTGTTTTATGCATAGCCTTGTGGGGCGGGTGGGCACTTGCACCCCCACGTTCAGAGGAGGAAGCCCGGACACAGAGAGGTTAGGTCACGTGCCTGAAGCTGCAGAGCTTGTCCTGTGGAGTATCAGGTATGCTCTAGACAGCTACCACACCCCTGTCTGTGCTGGCCCCGGTCACCCTCACCTGCATTCCCACACGTACCTGGATGCGGCACCAGGCATTATTTTTTTTTTTTTAAGATTTATTTAGAGAGCAAGAGAGAGAGAGAGCAGGGGAGGGGCAGAGGGAGAAGAAGAGGGAGAGAATCTCCAGCAGACTGCCTGCTGAGCTCAGAGGCCAATGCAGGGCTTGATCCCACGACCCTGAGATCATGACCTGAGCCAAAACGAAGAGTCGGACGCCCAACCGACTGAGCCACCCAGGTGCCCCGGCACAAAGCCTTGTAAATGGCCCCGCTCTTGTGGGCCCTGTCCTGGACGCAGCAGGTTGTTGGGTAGCTGTGTGCATCCCAGGGGCAATGGCAGTGACCCTGTGTCTATCAGATGGTAGGGCAGGGAGCAGAAGGATGTCATGGGGTTACATGTGATGGGATAAAGATTATTTTGTATCTGGTCATTTTATGTGTACTGGTATTTCTTACTAATAATTTGCCTTTGTAACATCTTATAACTGGTACTGCATCATAAGCTGGTGATGTGGCATTTCTTTAGCCGAGGGACAAGCTTGGGTCTGTGCTTGTTGGTGTGCAGGGACAGGAAGGGCATGGAGAGGGAAGGTGCAAACAATGGACTTGGCATCACTAACTGTGTGGTCACAGGAGGGAAGAGACCTGGCTGGTGGGTGTGAGGACAGAGGTTTCGAGAGGGGAGAAACCGAAAGACTAAGGAGCGTTATTTAGAGAATACAGTAGAGTCAGAAAATGTAAGATACCACGGTGTAGGGTATGAGGAGGAAGAAAAATGTATGTTAAATACATGGAGCTGCTTGTAGTCAAAAATGCCTCTTGGTCACAGGATATTCATATTTTTACTCCATTCCAGGGTCTGACCCGTGGACCTGTTTCCTGAGAGGCTGGTCATTTAAGCAGCTTCCTGAGAGCTGAAGAAGTCTAATTTCACCTCCAGTTGCTTGCATTGTGCCCTCTTAGGTATCCAAACACAGCCTGTGAGCTGCTGACTTGTGATGTGCCGCAGATCAACGACAGACTAGGAGGGGATGAGACTCTGCTGAACCTTCTTTACGATTTCTTGGACCACGAGCCGCCTCTCAATCCTCTGCTCGCCAGTTTTTTCAGCAAGACCATTGGTAATCTCATTGCAAGAAAAACTGAACAGGTAAATAATCTGCCAAGCCCATGTGGTTTGGGGTGGCAGGCATGGCTGATGCTGATACATCTTGCTGTCAGCTGTCGCTGTGCAGCGGTATCTCCGGGGCTTGGAGAACGGTGTTTCTGACTGTTCCATGGGGCACAGTTGGAGCAGTGTAGGCTGCTGCTATGTGAGTTGGAATTTGATTAGGAAAGTGGCTTCCTGAGGATATTTCTGCTGGCTAGCTTAGGAATAAGCACATCTTCCTGCCATCCCTGAGAGCTGCTCAGGACTCCAAACCAGGCTAGCTTGTTTTGTCCCGACCAGTCACAGGCATGAGGAATAGGGACATGCCTGCGTCATGACAGGTTCTTAGGATGTCCACCTTCTAAGATCTGCTGCTCTGTTGGGGTGGCAGGTATTTATGTGTCTAGGACACTTACTGTTGCAAAGCAAAGAAAACTTTCAGCACTAGGCTTCTGTAAAAATAGTGAATTCGTTTTGTTAGCTGGAGCATGGTCTTCTTGGAGTCCATTCTTGCTCCTGCCCGTATTCGTGCTTCTGCAGCACCCACACTGTGGACACGCAGAAATAGGGCGTGCATTGTAGGGGTTCCTCAGGCCTGCCACCAGCCCCAGCAGCCAGTCCTGGTGAGTCTTTCACCTTTTATCCCTTCCCACCATCCCCAGTGGATTATTTCAAAACAAATAACAGATATCGTATGATTTTATTGTTAATATTACCGTGTATACCTCTAAAATACAAGGACTTTTAAAAATTCTTTTTTTTAAAAGATTTTTATTTATTTATTTGACAGAGACAGACACAGCGAGAGAGGGAACACAAGCAGGGGGAGTGGGAGAGGGAGAAGCAGGCTTCCCGCTGAGCAGGGGGCCCGATGCGGGGCTCAATCCCAGGACCCCGGGACCACGACCTGAACCGAAGGCAGACGCTTAATGACTGAGCCACCCAGGTGCCCCTTAAAAATTCTTTTAATTATAACCCTAGGAGGGGACAAGACTGCTGAGCAAATTATCACCCCCCAGAAATATTAACCGTAATCGTTCAGTATCATGAAATATCGAGTGAGGGAACAGACTATATTTTACGTATATGTCTGGAGTTCTGAGAAGGTACAAGCTGCAGGGCAGATCGTAGTTCCCTTGGAGAAGTTGTTGGCATGTTGTCAATGTTCGGTGGAACGTACCTTTCTCAGGATCCTAGACCTTAAGCTTTGCAAGGGACCTCAGAGGATGGTCTCACTCAGATGCTTTTCTGAACCAGTCAGAGTATAAGTGAAGAATGGGGGGATGCAGGTGGTGAGAGAGGGTATTAGTGGTGGCAGAGGTTCTAGGACATGACACTAAGTCCTCCCATGCTAGTGACCAGTGTGGGGGGTGAGCGTCGTCACCGTGTCCGTGGGGCGGGGGGGTCAGCGTGTCCGTGGGGCAGGGGGGGGTCAGCGTGTCCGTGGGGCGAGGGGGTCAGCGTGTCCGTGGGGAAGTGGGGTTCAGCGTGGCTGTGGGGAAATGGTAGAATTTCTGAAAACCTTTGATTCTGGTCCTTGCCACTCAGCTCATAATTGCCTTAGCCTGACCATATTTCTCTGCTACTTTCAGATGTTTGCTGTATTTTACTGCTGCTTATATTTCCTTCTTCCTTTGCCCAGTACATCAAAATAACATGAAATGCACTCTTTCAAAATATTTCTTCTATTGACAAACATTTAACACATTTATATGAATTTCAAACAAGACAAAAATACATGAACAGTCTCCTGTAATACTCGAGAGGCAACCACTGTTGATTATTTAGTTCCTGTTCCTCCCCAAAAGCAGCAGTTCTTTTCCCGTAAGACATTTATTTTCAGATAATGGCATCATACTCTGAATAGTGCAAATTTTTTTTTTTCACTTAGAAATGGATTTGGTATGTCTTTTCCCATATAGCTCCCATGTTCTTTCTAGCAGACGGAGTGTCCACAGTATTGCTATACCAGAGTTTTTTAGTAGTAACCCAGAAGTTGCTTTGTTTCTAGGGTCGGCTGGGACAGGGCCACAGTGTTTGATCCCGGTTTCCACAGAGACGTGGGCTGCAGTGAACAGACTACATTTTCTTAACTCTTCATTTCAGACCATTTCACACATTTATAGAGAAAATAGTTTATGAACCCCTGTGTTTCTGTCACACAGCTTCAATAATTACGTGTTTCTGACCAGTTTTGTTTTTTCTACATCCCCTGTTTCCAAACCCCATCCCTAGATATTCCCATATGTGTTTCTTTTCTTTTCTTTTTTTTTTTAAGATTTTATTTATTTACTTGAGAGAGAATGGAGAGGGAGAATGCAGAAGCAGGGGGAGCGGCAGAGGGAGAGGGAGAAGCAGGCTCCACACTAAGCAGGGAGCCCAATGCGGGACTTGATCCCAGAACCCTGGGATCAGGACCTGAGCCACAGGCAGAGGCTTAACGGACGGAGCCACCCAGGCGCCCCTCCCATATGTATTTCTACAGGATGAGGACCCTACCAGCACTGGGAGTAGCCCAAAGTGTGGCTGGAGCACAGTTTAACTGTTCATTTGTTGAAGGACACATGACGTGTTTGCACTTTTGTCTGTTACAAGTCAAGCTGCTATGAACATTTGTGTATAGTGGTATGATACATAGTATAGTAGT